TGATCATATGATCTGAATCTTGAGTCATAACACGAATTTAATGATATTTTTTAGATATTTAAACTCACATTTAAAATCGTATTGAACCTCAATTTCAGCAAACATATAGTCAAAGTGACTAGCTCGACGATACAAACCCAATGACACAAAAATTGACCCAATCCTAGTCAAATCAAGCTCCGATCAAATTGATAAACCGTTTTTGAAACCTTTGGGTAGCTAATTGGAAGAACAAATGGATTTCAAATCTAACAGGTTTATAATTAAATCGAGCATCTGGACAAGACGAGTCCAACGAACCAAAGATCACTTGATTCTGGCATCGTAAAGACACTTAAATGTCCATAAAACACCCTATAAATCAAATGAATCTCTCTGGATCGTCTGATTGATTGATTTGTATTCCTTTCTTAGTTATAGTGTTTGTTGAAGATGTTGTGCTAGAGAGTTGACTGTTAATGCAATATCTGGTCGTGGGATAGCTAAATGCTGGAGAGACCCAATGATATTGCGAAAGAGAAATGGATTGGCAAAAGTGTTGCTGCAGTTTGGGGCCAGCCGATAGCGAGGAAACCATAGGACTTGGGGCAGGCTTGCAGTCTTCCATCCCAGCTTTCTTGAGAATTTCAGCTGCATCGTGTGCTTGTGTGAGGAATAGCCCTATGGCGGTATATTGAAAGTTGATACCCAAGAACGTAGGGATCAATCCTAGGATTTTCATGGAAAATGCAGCTTCGAGGTTGGTCAACATACCAAAATATCATCAACATATAGCAACAGATAGGTAAATGAGGATTGATGTGTGTCTATTAGAAGAGTTGGATCAGCTTGGCCTTTTTGAAAACTGAACTATAGCTTATGTAGTTATAATGGTGATACCCCACTATGTCTGTCACAGCCACCAACTACAGCTTATGTAACCAAATATGATTATTATAACTACTGACTAAGGTTTGCTCGTACCACGCTCTCATTCGTATTTACTAATTTGGGGTCTGCATTAGTTGGTTTAAACTAATATAGTTTAGTTGATTTGTTTATTCGTAAATTGCGGTTCAATTTTTATTTCAGATTAAATGTTATATTATTTGGTTGAACAAATTATATATATATATATCAGTTGTAAATCCCCTCTGGTCTGGTGTTCCATTCCCCCCAGTGTAGGGTGAGATACTCGAATTATAAGCGCATGAGGGATGGTCGGGGCTCGTATCATAGGCTCCGGCCATTCCTTTTTAAATATATATATAATAAGCATGTGAGCTCCA